GAGCTTGTTGTGAGAGGCTAAATCTGACTTCAGTGAATTTTTTTTTTTTTTGGCAGGGGGGATTCTTTCAATGCATTTGCCCATTTCATGATGGGTGATTTACAAGTGTTTCTGCCCACACTGTGCTAAATGTTCAGCAATTTTTTATCAAAATGGCATGACCCCATGCCCTACCCTCCCTATTCACTGGATTTCACCCAGAAGGACTTCTTTTGTTTCCCTGGATGAAAAAGTTCCTCAAAAGCACTAAAAGGCATCAAAATTGATTTGTTCAAAAACTTTTTGAGCAGTAGAAAAAGTGTCTCAGCCGGGCTCGTTGGCTCAGCCTGTAATCCCGCGCCTTTGGGAGGCTGAGGTGAGTGGATTGCCTGAGCCCGCGGGTCGAGAACCGCCTGGGCAGCGAGACCTCATCTCTACAATAAATCAAAAAATCAGCCGGACGTGGTAGTGCATGCCTGTAATTCTGGCTACTCAGAAGGCTGAGGTGGAAAGACCACTGGAGCCCAGCAGGCAAGGCTGCGGTGGTTGGGAGCGGCCACTGCACTCCAGTGTGGGTGACCGAGTGAGACTTCAACTCAAAAAAAGAAAAAAGAAAAAGTGTCTCAACAGGTGTACTTCATCAAGTGGAAAGCACTTTGAAGTGACTAAAGTTTAAGCATATAAGAATAAATACACAACTTTTTAAAAATAAATTCTGTTTTTTGGGTGGAGTCCTCTCTCGTATACCAAATATCATCATGCTGTTAGGTCAAGGATTGGCAAACTACTGCCTGTGGGTTAAATTTTGCCTGCCATTTGTTTTTGTAGAGTCTTATTGGATCATAGCCATGCCTGTGACTGCTGTCCTCCTACAAAGCAGAATTAACTAGTTACAACAGAGCTAGTACAGCCCACAAAGCCTAATATAAGTGTCATCTGGTGCTTGATAGATAAAAGTCTACCAGTTTTATTCTAGATGATGGAATCATGGGTAATTTTAATTTTTAAAAAATTGTATCTGATTCATTTTTTAAAATTTTCTACAGTGAGCATAAATTTATTGTATAAAATATGTATGTCATTAACCACTGAACCCTTATTAGGAAAAAATTATTTTATCAAAATTAAAGTCAAAGCAAATCTAACAAGTAGAAATAAAAGATGGATTATAGCTCCCAAAGTTCTAATTCAAAATATAAAACCTACATTGTAGGTAGAATATTAATTTTGTATGGTTTTTTAGAATAAGACCTATATAGGGGCATGACCCTTCCATATACCAACAAGATTAGTTTCTTAAAACTGCTTTTTAGGACTTCTGGCATGTTTTTTATCTGCTGTGTAAGTGTAGTCCTCCAAAGCTATGTTTGAGTGATATATGATGAAAAAAGGTAGAATCATTTGAGAAAAGTTTTGGAGTAAAAAATAGGAATGACAGATATTGAAGACTGATTTTCTTTAGGGGTTTATCAATGGGACATGAAAGCTATCCCAAAAAGAAAGGTTTTCAAACCTTTGCAACTCTGGAAAGTAAGTGAATCAGTGTGGAACCTTCCAAGGAGAATGCTTTGAAGAAAAAACATTCACTAGAATGCATAAATTATGGATATTTATTACAAAGGGTAATTCTGATGTAGCTAAGCAAATTTTGTTTCAAAATCCTGTAGGATGAAACCTTAAAAAATGTGTTTGAGTAATCAGGAGATAATTAAGACAGTCAGAAGGCCTGCTAATTAACATCAGGCGAGAGAATACTTGAAAATGGAATTTGTATTAACCAGAAGTTCCAGATGATGTGCATCTTTATTAAAAGAAACAGAAGTAAACAGTACATTAATTAAACTTTCAAATATACAAAACAAGGAGGCTGTAAAAATGCCAGCAAGGTAAGAAATAATATAATGGCTTTTGATAAAAATATCAAGCAATTAAGATGAGAATTAATAAAATTAGGCTTTCAAGTTTATAACTTTACATACCCAGAAAGAATGCCACAATTTAAATATATAAGTACGTCAGTGAATTTTCTGATTTTTGGATCTGTTTTACTGACTAGATGGTATCAATCTAATAACAGAATTCCCCTGAATGTGGTAAACCCATACAATTTCCAAAAATCAAAATCTTTTCATAATATACTCAAAGATTAAGACGCTGGTCTACCTGGGGGAAAATGAAAACATAATTTATCTAAATTTTAGGTCATGCAAATGCTAAATACACTATACCTCTTAGTATATTTTTAAAAGGAAATGTCTGCCCTTTGTATATGTTTTGATAGTTTTAAAATATTCTCTGCCTTCTAGCTCAATTGACCTTTGTAATAAGCTCCCATTATGCCTCTTGCCAGCTCTATACACAACTACCAGATATTCACTAAGAAAGCCCCAAGATTTCTAATATCTCTTTCCTCGTGTTTCTGCTTATAGCCATTCACTTCCCACTCATTTCTACCCTTCTTCTATGGTTATCTAAGTCTGACCTTCAAAGCCTTCAAAATGCCTCTTCTTTAATGAAAAATGTCTCTTTCTTTCCAAGCAGAAGTAATCATGTTCTGCTCTATGCTCTTATGCCTCTTACCAGTTTCTGTCATAAATTCAATGTCTCTGAATGACTCTCATTTCCTCCTGCTAAACTGACTTTCTTGTAGTTTATGCTTACTTTATTTACAATTCTCTTCAGAGTCTAGCATATTTTCAGCAGCCAACATATTGTTGATGTGTACTTGTTAATTCATAAATTACCTCTTTTTTAAAAGGAAATTTTTTAAATAAATAGAGATATAGAGAAAATATATAATTTGATACATCTTCTCAATATAATCAGATGATTGTTGAACAGGATAGATATTTTTACTTAAGACAAATATACTTGAAAACAAAACTGTGACTGTAAAAGCAACAAGTATTTCACATCTAAGCTGAATGTTGTGTGCTTTTATATTATTAATATATTAAGTCCCTTTTGTGCAGAAATATTAGCATATCACATAGTGATCAGCTAGAGAAAACATCGTGCTCATTTATGCTGTGGGACACTATTTAAATTAAATCTGTGGGACATTATTTAACTTTGATTAGGCTCAGTTTCCTCATCTTTAAGATAGGAATAATCATTTTCAGCCTTCCCATTGCACAAGTCTGCTGTGAGAGAGAATGAAATAATGGAAGGGATAGTGCTTCGTAAACTGCAAAGTTCTGTCCAAATGTAAGAGCATATGAGGAACATTGATATAAGGAACATTAAAATAGTAATATGAGAGAGAATGAGTGAGTAAATGACCAAAAGAGGTCAAATTCTTTTAGATCAAATTTATATGAAATATCTTATGAAATGCTTGAAGCAAGAAAAGATTTTGGTGTGCAGTAACTTAAGTTTTTATCACAAGAAACTGAATAATTCCAAAGGGGCAAATATTAAGATTACTGAATTATTATTTTGCTGCTTTTATGAGTTCTATAAGATTGCAAATTCAATCTGAAGGATCCTTATCGATGAGAGAGTTCCAGACCTAAAATATCTCCAATCTCATTTACTGACTATTACCAATTAGGAAGAATTATTTTATTTCCTTATCTCATACCATAGAGGTCAGCTTAATAAAAGCCTCAGACCTTTTCTATCATACTTCATGTCATACTGAGGTTTTAATATACTCGCTGAAAGGGAATATAGAATGTGGAACCTAAGGATAAGCATGGATCTCGACATTCATTTATTTTAAACAACACCTATATCTGGAATTCCTCAATAGCACTCTTCCTATGTCGAGTTTTGACCTAGATGCCTCCAATTCAGGGAAAGAATCTACTGCTGATCCCTACTGTTAATCCCTAAATCAATTAGGCTTTCCCTTATAATTTTGTAGAAATGTGATCTCCCATCATTTTTGGTAAGTCCTAAAAGCTTTGGTTTACCCAGATACAGAACCTCGCAACGTATACACAGACGCACACACCACATTGCTATTGCTTCTTCGCTCCTTCCATCTTGGTCATCTAGGCCAATGGTATACAATTCCAAATTAGCTAGGCAATTAGCAAATATATTCTCAAGTTTAATTCCCTTTCTCTCTTAATGAGAGTTAATCAGTATATCTATAGACATTTTCTAAGAGTACCAGCTCTACTAGGATTAAACTTGTGATGGATTTTGCTGTTGCCTACAAAGCTCCAGTTTCTTTGCCAAAGGAGTCACTGAACAGAGACTGTCTTGAGTAGCAAATGAACTCCAGTCAGTTAGACTCTGTTAAAGTAATTCTGACCCTCGTATACTGCACATGGGCCTTGAGGATTATAAGCATTTAGTAGCTACACGATCCAACTGCCAAAATGTCTTAAAATGATTTGGCTAATCTTCATAGTGTGCTTACGGTTAATGTCATTATTTAAAACTTTTTATTTAGACTGGCAGTAATTAATAAGCATAATGAATGGAATCTTTTTCTCTTCTATTTTGGATAAATTGCAGTGCCATTCAAAGAGCAGCAAAACTTAACTAATCATAGCCAAAATTAACAATGTTTCTTCCTTTCTCTCTATCCCCCCAACCCGAAGTAAAAATTTGAACTTGCTGAAAAAAATTGAATTTTAACTGTATATCCTTGTCATAATTAAAACATGAGTAGTCAAATGAAACTAACATGGCCTAGTGACTTCTTTCATGTTACCATCATATCATGTGATCGTATTGGAGGGTAGCTGATTTTGTTATATAATAGAGACTTCCTTGTACCATAATTAACTCAAGGATAGCAGACAGAAAGTTACCTGGTCCAGGTAAGAGAACGAAGTCATTTTTCATAAGCCATCATGATCTTGGGTGACCTAATAGGGAAACTGATGGCATGGTGTTCGGTTTAAATCAACCTTTAGGAACTAAAATCTGTGATGGAGTAAAACTCCATATAGGTATCAGTTTTCTAAAATAATTTCTTTACAGTGACTTGTCTGTGTTTATATGACAAGGCTTTATATGTTTATATACAAGGTTTCAATAAGATCTCTCTGTGTTTCTCTTAGAAGATAAAGGGAAGTTAAAAGCCAACAATTCCAGTCAGCCGTCAAGCTCTGAAAGTGGCTCATTTCTCCTCAAATCTGGCACAGCACCCCTGCCACCTGGAGCAGCCACGTCCCCCTCCAAGAGCACAAATGGAGCTCCTGGGACTGTTGCTGAGTCAGAAGAGGAAAAAGCCAAAAAATTACTTTATTGTTCACTATGCAAAGTGGCCGTGAACTCTCTCTCACAACTAGAGGCACACAACACAGGTTAGCAACTATCTTTTGAATTTAAATAATGTTTACAACAAAACCTAACTTTTCCCATCAGAATTCCATCTTTTGTTGTTCAGACCTTAGGTTTGTTCAATGTGTCCTCTATGTTTTTGATTCAAAGGAGTGATTTTAGAAAAGTATGATCATATGACTTTGGAAACATCAAGGCCAAAGCAGGTTGGAGATAAAACTTGTTCTATTCTTTATTTTCTTAAAAGCACCTAATAGTTTCCCAAACTCATTTTGAGGAAGTGACAGAGATGAAGATAAATATTTATGCACATGTTCACTGCCACACATTTATAAGGGAAATAAATGGAAGCAACCTAAAAGTCCATCAGTAGGGAAATATTGAATACATTATAGGAACCCAACATGATAGAATATTTTATTCAGCCATTAAGACATAATAATAAGAAAATATATTCATGATTTGTTATGTGACATTGTCAGAATATTTAATTTAGTAAGATCCCAACTTTGAAAATATACATTTTTAATGCATAAAAAAAGAACCTGAAAAGAAATACACTAAAATGATAATGGTGCTTACCTCTGAGTGGTGAAAATATAGGTAATCTTTATTTTCTTATGTTTCTCTATATTTGCCATATTTTCTTTGCTAAATACTCTTATGTTTTTACAATAAATGCATCAAATTTATAAGCAGCATTAAAATGGCCACACACAAAAAAGCATTGGGAACTTTAGCCTGAAGTTAAACATCTCCAACCTAAAGAAAACACAAAACTTCACACAGTTCTTCAACACCTACTTAATGTCTCTTTCTGTCTTAGGATCTAAACACAAGACCATGGTAGAGGCTCGTAATGGGGCTGGTCCAATTAAATCCTATCCTAGACCTGGATCAAGATTAAAGCTACAGAATGGCAGTAAGGGGTCAGGGCTACAGAACAAGACATTTCATTGTGAAATCTGTGATGTCCACGTTAATTCTGAAATTCAACTCAAACAGGTAATGTATCCTGAATTAGTGTACGCTGTTGTTTGGGGTTGCCACTGTGTATGTCTTCATCAAAAAATGGTTCTACAGTTAAATTTACTAACTTTTATAGGACGCATACAATATACAACATACAGGTGCTATGTGGAAAAAAAAAGTCAGCATGAAATATATGAGCATCTACTATCACTATATAAGGGACCTCCCCCCAAAAACTCAGAATTATCTTTTGGAGGGTGGACCCCTTGTAGTACACTTGGAATTTTTTTCTCCAGATCAAACGGTCAACCAAAGTTTTTATCCAGAAGTTTTGAGACGGTTGAGTCATGATTTGTGGAAGAAATGTCCTGAGTTGTGGCAAACAGGTGACTGGTTCTTCCACCATGACAATGTGCCTGCCCACACTGCACTGAGGGTTCAGTAATTTCTCACTAAAAACGCCATCACCCCCGTTTCCCACCCTCCCTATTCACCTGATCTCACCCCAAGAGACTTTTTTTGTTTCCCCGCATGAAAAACATCTTTGAATGAAAACATTTTGCTGATGTGGAGGAGGTGGAACAAAAAATAGCAGCAGTACTAAAATGCATCAAAATTGATGAGTTCACAAGCTGTTTTGAGCAGTGGAAAAAATGTCTCAATACATGTATCGCATCAAAAAGAGTACCTCTGAAGGTGACTGAAGTTTAAACATGTAAGAATAAATACACAAATTTTTATAAATAAATTCCAGTGTTTTGGGGTTCCCCCTCATATGTCAGGTTCCAGGCTAGGTGTTAGGGAGATGGGCACAATAGTCACTGGAGCTCACAGCTGAGCAGGAGCTCTTGATAAGGTAAGTGAGATGGTAAACCTGTCTTCCAAAGACTCAGATCTGGTCAGACAGACTCATCATTAGCTGTGTTAACACCAGGCAAACTCTGATAAGGGCTGTATAGCAGCAGTTCCCAACCTTTTTGGCATTGGGGCTGGTTTTGTGAAAGACAGTTTTTCCACAGACCTGAACGGGGTTGGGGAACAAGATGGTTTCAGGATGATTCAAGCACATTACATTTATTGTGCACTTTATTTCTGTTATTATTACATTGTAATATATAATGAAATAATTAGACAACTTACCATAAAGCAGAATCGGTGAGAGCTCTGAGCTGGTTTTCCTGCAACTAGACAATTCCATCTGGGGATGATGGGAGACAGTGACACTCGGAGTGTGTTGCTTATGTCCAGTCTACTCTGTAATCTCGTTTTGGTTGCTGTCACTGCAGAAAACTCTGCTTCACAAAGATAAGATGTTGGAAATGGAGCAGGCTTTTCAGTGCTTTTGTGACAATGTCAGGATATTCTGGCTTGACTTTAATCCAGAACGTATGGAGATTTGTAGTTGTCTCCGACATACTTTTAAGGCTACTGTCATTTGCAATCTCAAGCAATTGATCTTCTAGTATGGATGAAGTTGATTCACCTGGCTTATTCACAAATGGATCATGGACCCATTCCTTCCCACTTTGGGGGCATTTTGTGGTTGGAAAGTAATGCTCAAACTCTCTTGAAAGCTGAGGTAGTGATCATGCACTAGCTGGGAGAAAAAAGGCCCTGGCTTAGTTTTCTTCAAAATCTCTGATAATGTTTGAAACATGTCAGAAGTCCCAGTGTTCACTTGTCACCCCCATAATTCCAGTTTGGCTTTGAATATAACCATTTTATCTGCCAACTTGAACACAGTTGTTGTCCTTCCCTGAAGTAACAGATTGAGTTTGTTGAGCAGGTTGAGTATGTCACACAAGTAGGCAAGCTTTGTGACCCATTCTGGTTACTGAAAGTGCTGCCGGTAGTGCCTGTTCTAAAATAAATCTCTGGAGTGGCTCTAGTAACTCAAAAACCCTGGCCAGTGATTTATCTTTAGAAAGCATCTCACTTCTGTGTATAAGAGAAGACATGTGTGCTATGCGTCCATCTCCTTACAAAGCTGTGCAATCAGACATGAGTTAAGGGCATGTACTTTAATGTGCTTGGTAACTTTAATCACATCTTGCAAAGTGTTGTTAAGTTCAGATGATATGTTTCGGCTATGCTGCATTTCTCTATGGATAGCACAGTGCATAGACTCACACATTCAGAAGCGACCTCTTCAACCCAAATAGTCAAACCAGAAAGGTGTCCAGTCATGGCAGCCATTCCATCCATGCATGTACTGACACAAAATGACCAGTCCAATTTTCCTGATATGTAATCATTCAAAGATTTGAATAGTTCTGCAGCTGTGGCATTGGTTGGCAACAAGTGTGCAAATAATATACCCTCATGAAAAATATATCGCACAAAACAAAGATTGTTGCCTTGTTGTCAACATCAGTAGACTCACCAACCTGGATTGTGTACGATGACTCATTCTCTAACAATTGTGCCTCAATATCCTCTGCTATTTCATCAATCTGGTGCAGGCTGAAAGAGGAACATGTGCCATGTTTTGAACTGCAGCCTCTCCTAAAAGTTCATGACAAATGTCCTTAGTGGGATCAGCTCTTAGTAAAGGGCTTCTTTGCTTTAGCAGTGAGGTTAGCCGCTAGAATGATGCTCTCAGTACAGACACATTTGATGAAGTGATGGTCTTCAGTAATTCCTTCTGTTCTTCATGTTCATTTTTTTTTTCTTTTGAAAAATTCCAAAGGCTTGTCTTTTAAAGCAGGATGCTTGGTCTTCATGTGGCAAAGCAATTTTGAAGCTTTCTTGGCTTCATTGGATAGCCAGTCACCCCATATATAAAGTAGGCTTGGAGAATGTGAATCACCTGTTGCAATGAACCCATAATTTAAGTAGGATTCTTGGTATTTTCTTTTAAATGCAGCTTTCTTTTTGTTGGCAGTTTTAGAGTCTTCTGCCGTTTCATCATTGAGTCTTTGCCCCTTTACAAAGAAGATCTACCAGTAATGTTTGTTTTTTACTCATTTTGGCTAGGGTTAGCTTGTGGGCTTAGCAAAACCATGACTGAGACAAGTGTGCAGTGTGGGAAAACGGCATGGATGGAAGTGGTCAATAAAATAATGAGTGGGTCACCCTCGGACTAAAATAAGTGTTGGATTCTGACTTAAAGCCTGTCACCAGATGCAGCTGTACAATTGAAGTGCATCAACCTACTTGCCACTCACTGATAGGGTTTTGATATGAGTCTCCAAGCAATTGATTTATTATGGTCTCTGTGCAGTCAAACTTCACTGCTAATGTTAATCTATATTTACAGCCACTCCCCAGCCCCACCTCAGGTCATTATGCATTAGATTCTCATAAGGAGCAAGCCACCTAGATCCCTCGTATGTGCCATTCACAACAGGATTCACACTCCTATGAGAATCTAATGTTGCCTACGAATCTGACAGGAGACAGAGCTCATGGTGGTAATGCGAGTGATGGGAAGCAACTGTAAATACAGACGAATCTTCTCTCACTCTCCTGCCACTCACCTCCTGCTATGTGGCCTGATTCTTAACAAGTCACAGACGGGTACAGGACTATGGCCCTGGGGACTGGGGACCCCTGCTATAGAGAACAGGAGAGGGACAGAGAGGCATTGCATCATGGGGGGTATCAAGTCTTAACTTCACAATCATAATTATTTAACCCAAACCATCTTGGAACTATGGACCTAAGTCTATAGTCCATCTAGGAACTATGGAATGGGCAAACCAGCTACCTAGAAATAAATATTACAGGGAATAAAACTCACATTTCGATTCAGCTAACGCATCAAACTTCTTTCAGCACATTTCTAGCCGAAGGCATAAAGATCGAGTTGCAGGGAAGCCATTGAAGCCGAAATACAGCCCCTACAACAAACTCCAGCGGAGCCCAAGTATTTTAGCAGTAAGTTTACCTCTCCTGTTTGCCTGTTTTGTGGGGCAACCTTGCTGGGTTGGGCAGCCACTGTGGGTTAGGGGGGCCTAGGGACTAATGATCATGAAAGTCTTGAATTTAAATAGCCCTTATCAACAGAAGTTTTAGAATGAACTGCCTCACTCATGCTGTAGGACAGCTTGAAGAAAACTTCCTTAGCAAAGAGAAAGAGAACCTCTTTATGAGCCAGTACCGTACTCGGGGCTCAGGAACAAGGACCAGTGACACCCGAAGAACTCTGGGATGTGGTGGACCTGGAGAGAGGGATTGCTTTCATAAAACAAAAATCCATCCATTTACTTGAATCTTCTCCTGCTTGCTGGATTGGGGGTGGGTACAAGAAAGTAAAGCGATGTTTGTCTACGTTCTTTCTCCATCCCAGCAAGCAAGTGGGTAATCAGCCTGTCTGACGTGCTTTTTCAGTTTCTTCACAAAAATACCTAGGGGCTCCCACAATAGATGTCATGTCAATATCCAGATGAATGGATTTCACAATCTTCCTGGGACTGGGCCCGGTATAGTGTGCAGTCTGAGGACAAAGCTGGTTTTTGTCCAGCTGGAGATGATCCTGAGCTCGCCTTCCACCTTCTCCAAAGCCTTTGGTGCTGCAAGCAGGTGTTACCTGCATTAAGCAAATCCAGCTTGCAGTGCTCCTCCTGATTGCAAAAGAGAGAAATTAAGAAAACAAGTTCTTACTTCACAGGAGGGTTCCACCTTGGAATTCCTTGAAATAGCGAGTTTCTAGCCCACTTATAATCATTCTCAACAACAGAAATTTGATTTAGCTGCGACTTTTAAAGGATGACTCATTAAGTGGCCAGGGAGAGAAGTGTAAACCGACTTTGTTTTCTTGACTCTTCATGGTTGCCTAATGTCCTAGAACCCAGTTACCTAAGTTCGGAGTAGCATATCTAAGAGAAGTGAAAGGTCATACATATTTTCAAAAAATAAAAACCTCTCTCTAGACCTCATCATGGTTTAAGACAAGTCTGAATTTGAATTGAGCTCCATCACCTATGCAGGAACATTCTGGGCAGGTTTGATTTGTTCCTGCTGAGCAGCAGTGTAAAATAGCTTTAGTATCTTCTCAGAGGGGTCCCCCTACACCCTAGCACCCAGGAGCAAGGACCACCAACAGACAGCTGAAATGGAAACAAATCAAAGCAAAGAAAGCTATGCCATGAGCCATTGAAACCAGTCTTGTGAAAATAATCATTTCTCAACTTTTGAGAGTAAAGATTTTTGAATGTTGCTTGTTTTGCTTATGGAGAGATGTCTGTAGTGCTGCCATTCAAAACCAACATCTCCACCCCCTTTCCGGTTTTCTCCATTAGGCAAAACTTGCATTCCAGAAAGATATGATGAAGCCTTTGGCCCCCGCCTTCCTGTCCTCGCCCCTGGCGGCGGCGGCGGCTGTGTCCTCTGCGCTGTCACTCCCGCCCCGGCCGTCGGCCTCACTGTTCCAGGCTCCGGCCATTCCTCCGGCTCTCCTGAGGCCGGGACACGGGCCCATCCGCGCCACTCCTGCCTCCATTCTCTTCGCTCCCTACTGACGTCTGCAAGGCCCAGGAGGGTTGAGGCCTGTCAAAAGGCTGAGAAAGAACGCCAAAAGGATTCAGCAATTTCAGCATTTTGTGTTGCAGTTCACCCCCAGCCTCCCATGAAATGCAGCCTACCGCCCCAAGCCCCAGCTCCAAAGAGAAACAAATCACTAGATTCAAGAGTGCTTTCATGGACTGCCCCTACCATTTAGGAATCTGACAGCATAGGCTTTATCTCCCCATCCCCTCCCCCACCCTGCCCCATGCCATTGGCGTATCTGAAATATTGGGTTTCTTGAAAATATATTGGTTGGAAAGAAAAAGCAAGAAAAAAAATCATTCTCTCTTTCTTCCATGGGTGTGATCTGGCTTAGAAAAAATAGAGAGTATTTTCCTGACAGACTTGAAAACTAGGATCTTCCTCAGATGTCTGTAAATAACTCTGGAATCCAACTGGGTATATTCTAGTGTGGAACAAAAATTGATGAACACAAGTTCTTACTTGTGGATACCATCTTACCAACGGATCACAGCGTTTTCTTTTTTGGTGTACTATTGTTGACAGGGATTGTGTACTGTTTTAGACCCAAGTACTGTTGTATCCTGTGTAGTACTAAATCTGTATCTCTTGTCTGAATTAAACATTTTTAGTTGCCGTGTAAATGTTAGGAAGCAAAGTAGCTTTGAATTTTCTCTTTAAGAGAACAAAAGATAAAGTAATGTATTTTCTTTATTTCACATTTTATTTGGAGATATTTAAACAAAATAGAAAGCCATATAACATAGCTATAATTACTACCTGTTTGATATTTTTGTTTTAACTTATTTTGTAGCTTCCTCACTAGTTTGAGTTGCTAAGCAAATGTATACAAACAGAAAAAGAGCTTCCTAAATCGCACATTTTGCACCTCTTGTGCATTCTGCAAGAAGACAATGAATCCATGTATTTCTCTATAATTATCTTCTTCATTTTTAACCTGTTTCCATTTGTAATGATGCTACATAATTTTGTGGCTCCCTAATGCAATAATGTACAGAAGATAAAAAAAATTTATAATTGAACAATTTGTCTTTCTGTTCACTGAATATGTTGCAGGTCACACTCCCATGCCCCCCTTATAAACTGATATCAACAAGACTGGAATGTTTGTGATATCAGGGGCAAGAGTTATCATACAACAACAATATAGAGTGAACTCTTTTAGAGCATCTATATCTGCAATCTGTAAATGGTAAAATGTCTGTGTATTTTTTTAAATGTACCTTTTCAATAAAAGTACGAAAAATAAAAATCTGTATTTTCAATGTTATTTTCTCCTGAGATACCTCCAATTGGAAGTCATGTGATAAAAGACTTTTAGTAGGTGCAAAGATTGCTTCTTTCATAGTTAATATTTTTAGCTCTTATTTGTGGCATATTTATTTGTCATGTTTATTCATTACTGTTCACAGCATCAGCATGAAGTGAGACTTTACTGCTGTTTTCTCTCTGAATCTTTAAGAAGTTGGGCCAAAGTTGTAAGTTTGCCTAAAATTACAGTAGCAGTCTATGGAAAACTTGTGCGTCCCTGATTTTTTTAAACTCTAAATTTTCTAGCTTGTCTTTTATTGGCATCCATGGCATTTATGGTCCTTTTTCAGAGAATTGTATTCCACTCCTCCCCCTTCGCCTACTCCAACCAGCCCATTCTTCTTTTTTTCCACCTCATTCTGTTACTTCTTAAATGTAAAGATCAATACATCACTGTTTATTCTGGTGGTTTACTGCTGCTTAACAAACTACTCAAAAATTTAGGAGCTGAGCCGGGCTTGGTGGCTCAACCTGTAATCCCGCGCCTTGGGAGGCTGAGATGAGTGGATTGCCTGACCCCATGTGTTCGAGACCAGCCTGGGCAACTTGGCGAGACCTCATCTCTACAATAAATCAAAAAATCAGCCAGGCGTGGTAGCACGCACCTGTAGTTCCAGCTACTTGGAAGGCTGAGGCGGAAGGATCGCTGGAGCCCAGCAGGTCGAGGTTGCGGTGGCCAGGAGCGCCACTACACTCCAGTCTGGGTGACAGAGTGAGACTCCAACTCAAAAAAAAAAAAAAAACTTAGGAGCTTAAAATAACAACCATTTGATTAGTGGTTCTATCAGGATTTCATGGACCAGGAATTCCAGCAGATGTGACTGGGCTCCCTGTTTCCCATGGCATTAACAGTTCCTTTGGTATTCAGTGGGCTGGCAGGCCAGGCTGGAGGATCCAAGATGACTCCATTCATATGTCAGCCTGGTGAAAATGGTGAGAGTTGAGCTCTCCTAGAACAGTCTACCAGAAGGCCTCCATGTGGCCTCCCCAGCATCTTCCTTGTAGTCTCAGGTAGTTATATAGTAACAGGGAGAACATTTTAAGAGGCCAGGGTGGAAATCAAAAGGCTTCTTAAGGAATAGTTTTGAAAGTCCCAACATGTTATTTATGCTGCATTCTGATGATCAAGCTAGTTACCAAGGTCAATCCAGATTCAAGGGGAAGGAAATCAGACCTCACTTCTCAATGTGAAGAGCAATGTGCCACCATCTTTAATCTACCACACTGTTATAGAATTTTGAGACTGGTAAAAACTATGACGGATTCTGTGTCTCCTACCTTAAGCCCAAACCATGTCACTTGTTAAAAATGAGAAAGCATTGGAGTGGAGGAGGGTAGGATTTAAATTCTCATTTCTACAAAATTAAGGCCAGTAGATGGCAGTGTAGCTGTGATACATAATCATAGACTTCCTCTATCAAAGAATTTATCCTACTATTTGAAAATTGTTGACCTTAACACACGTAGTTTAGGCTTATAATCAAGTTACTTCTAGTTTGACATTCAGAATTTGGGATTTTTAAAAAATGACTCATTTGAACTCTGACTAATACTAGTTACACTTAACCGTGGTTGGACCTTCAGATATGGTTTACAGGCGTTGTGCGCTGAAAAGATTGTGTTTCAACTTAACACCTTGGAGTATTTTTTATTTTTATGGATTTCAATGGCCATCGCATTTGATTTATCTTACATCATCCTATATCTCATTAAAGCTTACTGCAATCTTAAACATTTTTAAAATGTCAATATTTTAAAAGGCCCAGGAATTTACTGATTAGATTTATGGAGTTAAGTTTTTTAAAATTACTTCAGGGCAGAAGTACAAAAGAACATCAATTGATTAAAATACATGCCTCTAAAAGAAGGCATGAGTAGCTGCATGCCATGATTTATAAAACACTATTAAACAGGTATGTTTCATCATCTACCTTGATTCTGAGGTGCCAAGTGGGTCAACCCAGAAAGGATACACATATTTGATCTAATACCCCTTCTTATATTGTTTCTAGTGGAAAAGACTGCCACTCTACTTCACTTCTTGTGAAAGTTGGAAAACATGCTGCTTCCTCTGACATAGTCTAGGCCTGGTCTCTGCAGAATCTGAAAATTTGTCTCAGGTAGGGTTGCCAGATAAAACATACAATACCCCTTAAATTTGCATTTATTCAAATTGAATTGATAACCAGTGAATACTTGTTTAGTGTAGTGTTTGTTTCAAATAATATTTAGTATGATATTGCACTTAGTGTAAGTATGTTCCAAAAATAAACACCCAAATATTTGGGACCTACTTATACTAAAAGATTATTTGTTATTTACCTGAAATTCAAATAAATGGACATCCTGCATGTGCTAAATCTGGCAACCTTTTTCTCAGGAGCATTTCTCTTCATCTCAAGTACCATGATGCTTCAGGAAAGAAAAGACCTCTTGGGTATTAAAAACCAAATAATGAATTTTTGAAGAGTGCATTGTGCAGTACACTCACAAATAAGTAAAAAACTTGCATTAAGTAAAAGTCAATGATATATTGACTTTGGATAGAACCAGCACAGGCAAAAATGTAGCTGTAGATGCCTCTGACTTAAAGCAACACTAATACCTGTTTAATAAAATTAAACTATTATAAAAAGAAAGAACAAAATTTTAATTTGTATTATGCACCAAACCCACCACCCCTGATTTTTCTCTTTCTCTGCCCTAAGAGAATTCTGATTTTTCAGAGCAGGAAAAGATATGATCATGTAGAATTTTTCTTTCAGAAAGTACTTTAAGGAAAACTATACTACAGTTAATGTTGTTAAGAAAGAGAATCAAGGGAATTCCCATTGGGAAAACCAAGGAGAAAGATCCGACGGAGCACCAGGTGCAAATCCTGTTGTGTGAAGACTCCCAGAGGAAGTCCAAAGAGACTCACTGAGGAGATTGAGTTTGGGTGCCTACTATGGTGCCACCCAAGAGTTCACTGGGGGAAGGGAAAGATGGCCAGGAGCTGTTTGATAAAATTTAAGTCAGCTTCAAGACATACAGGCATAAGCACAGTCATCTTCAGGTAATAGGCGGAGGGACTTCATCTCATCTCTGGTAGGCTGTGTGGATTCCGACCTCGTTTTACAGCATTTCTTCCACCAGATCTTTGTTTTGTTAATGTGATGGCCCTCAATATCAGGCGTCTTTGGGAAAATATTAGTTTCTAGTGCTGCGGTGGGTTGAGGAGAAGCTGTGTATTGCAAGAGCAAATTCCGCAGGGAATGTTCATCTCCATCTCCTTCCTTCCTTCAGGTAATTCATGGGGGAATTCATCAGGGACATGACGGTGCAGGTTCTCAGCAACTATGGAGTGTGACTAGAGAATTGCCCTGGTATCTTTGGTTAAAATGTCTAAAGTCAAAGTGATTAACGTATTCTTCTACTCCTAGCTAAGTACTCAAAATGTATTAAACTTGTGTAGAAAGATAGAATTCTTTCTGCAGGTGCAATGAAAATATCATCATGTCATATTCTTCATTTTAAGAAATCACTTATCTATGGATACTTGGACACACTTGCCATAAAGCATCTGATTTTTATTTTCATCATGGTGAAAAAACAAAATTAGGATACAAGAGAATTAAATAAGAATAATACATCATTTATATTCAAAGACCTGAACTCAAATCCTGTTCATGTCATACACATGTTAGTTGTGATTTTGTCTCAGAAGAAGATTGTATGTCATTGTCCCAAAGCCTAAGTTTTTCATATACATTAAATATATGTAACATTATCACAGAGTGGTTATGAAAAGCAGATAAAATTCATCATGTGAAAATGTATTTTTGTATTATCACATGCTATACAAATTTTTACAGTAAATGGATAAATAACATCAATAATTTTTTCTGACTTTAAATTTTAAGTAAAATTCTCTCAAATTAGCCAATTTTAAATCTTTAGACTTAGAGAAAAATCCATTTGTAATGGAAAATAATAGAAAATTCATAATTGTACATTTATGTTCCTATTCTCAAAGGTATAATTCAAATAGAAGTAATAATAAGATAAAAATGCTTGCTTATCACAAGTATGTTCAAATTCCAGATTAAAAACAGAATCTTAAATTGTAAAAACTCAAAAATTTATTTGTGTTGTTAAAAATATCACAATGCCTGATATAAAAAAATAAAAAAGCTTCTTCTTGATGTTAAAAAATTGTAATACTATAAAAATGATACAATAAAGAAAAATACTATAAACACAAAACAAACTAAGAAAAATATTTACAATCTGTATGACATGTAAGGTTGATATCCTTATTATACAGATAACTCATATAAAATGGGGTGGAAGAATTCTTTCAAAAAAGAAAGAAACTACCCAATAGAAAAAAAGCAATCCAAAAAAGACAAACCATAAACAAATGTTTAACAAATATGAAAAAATATTTATCCTCACTGAAGTAATATGATTGAAATCAATCTTTGTTTGATGTAGCATATTAAAAAATTGTAAAACTTTGGCCAAACCTTCTATCAATGAGGGTGGAAAAATGAGCACATTTCTGCACTTTGGTAGTAATGAAAACTACTTCAACTTTTCTAGAAGGATGTATCAATCATCACGTCAGTTCTCCATAACCTCTAGCCTAGAAATTCTATGCCCAAGGCTTTAGTTAAGAGATTTATGCACAAGTATGTTACAAAATAGTGAAAAAAAGTTCATTCATAAAGGATGAGAAGAAATCTAGGGAAGCAATATGCAGCGGGAAACAGCATGACCATTAAAATGATGAAATAGTTCTCCAATTATTGATGTGAAAAGATGTTGATGATGTGTGCAAATGGGGAAAATAAATAGTTATAAAATGCATTTTGAGTGTGATCACATTCATGTTAAATTTTAAAACTAAACTTGAGGCTGGGCACGGTGGCTCAGCACATTGGGAGGCCAAGGCAAGAG